CTCTTACTCCCCCAATTCCACACAATAAACTAAGTCTATGCTTTAAACTCACCAGTGGTTGTCTACGGCCATGCCACCCTGAACAAGCCCGATCCCGTCTGATATTGGAAGCTAAGCAGGGTCGGGCCTGGTTAGTACTTGGATGGGAGACCTACCTAGGAAGACCAGGTGCTGTAGGCGTGAAAAATAAAAAAAAATTTTAAAAAAGGGATTGTAAACAGACAAGGTCCTTGAAAAAAACGTCTAAATAAATAAAATAAACTCACCAGTGGCTTGTAACCAAATGTGTTTCCCTTATGTCCTCCCTTTCCCTCCCCATCCTGGAACACAACACAACTGGACAGCAGAGCAGTGCCTAATAGCAGAGCAGTGCCTAGCCAGTGCTTTGCAACCACTATGTTCTGATCTGACCGGGAGGCAGGCACCCCAGGGACGGCAGCAGCTGCCCACAGCCTGAGCATTTTCCATACGTGCCAGGGCAAGGAAAAGGTTGGGAACACATTTAGACCCCAGGAACTTCCTGTTCTCTTTTTACCCTTGTTGCAGGGGAAGAAACTGACTACAAAACACTGAAGAAAATCTTTAAAGTACCATTTGATAGAATCTCTTCAAATTCATGTTCAAAATTTACAACACAGAAACCATATAAAACTTGTTTTTTAATTACCGACCACATGCAACAAAGGTATAAAACACAATTACTTTATTGATTTCTTACAATCAAATACTGCCAACTAGCATTACTTCCACTCATGCATCATTAAAAACAAAAGGACATTTCCTTGGTATTTTCAAATGATGCATTATACAATAAACAAAAAAAGTTAGAACTTAAAATGCACCCTGATTAATTATGTAAACTGGTAATTTTTAAAAAAAGCATAACTAATAATTTGGTTCTTCATAAAATGGAAATTTAAATATTTCTCCTGATAGTTTTGAGGTTATCATTATGTTATGAGTAGTGCAAAGTGTGGCACACAGAGTTTCATCTAGAAAGGTGTGTCTTACACACCTTATTAAACAAATGAAATGTGCATAACAAAATGCATACAGTCAATGCATGATAGAAAGCATGTTTCAAATACAAGGCAGCCCCTCGGGCCACCATATTATTTAGGTTTTGCATTATCATTTATGGCATTATAGATTAATTACATATAACATACTTTTATACATTTTAACCCTGAAGATAAGAAAAATAACTGTTGCTTGAAAAAATTATTCCAGGTAGCCATTTGGTTTTTATCAGGAGAAAGTGAACCTCCAATAGTTTAGTGTCTGCTAAATCTGGAATCATTAGCTCGAGTCAGTAAATCAGATATGCAACGTATTTCACAGTGACTGTTTTCCAAGTCCTGGCAATGCCTCTTGTCCACAAGATGCCAGATGATGAAGCATCTCCGGGATTACCCCTGCATGTGGTTTTCCCTTTTTCTTTCTCTCTTTTTTTTTTTTTCCTGAAGTGTATTATTTCCTCTTCTCACCTCTTCTATGGCCTTCTATTTTAATTATTCATAAGTCCTTTCAGAATATCCTCAGAGAGCTCCATAAGGGGAAGTTCTGGAGACGGAAAATCCAAGGGAGGAAGATTGGGTATTGGAATATCCTTGGCTTTCCCAGTATTTGCTGAAAACTTCTGCCAGGTTGAAGAGGCTGTAGCAGTTTCTGAATGTGGTGGCAAGCTCCATAACTCTGCAAAATCTGCATCTACATCCAGCTCCTTTTCTACTGGGCCTTTTAGACACCTGGCCTTTTCAGCCTTTAGTTGTTTATTTTCTTTCCTTAATCTTTCATTCTCAGCCACAAGGAATTCCACATGCCTCTTCAAATCTGCAATTTTGGTTGCCTGCTCTTCTATAATTGTTTTATCATCTTTTGGGGCTTTGCTTCCAATGCATGGCTCTGTCGGCTCACTTTTCTGCTGAAGTAAAAACAGTAATGTGTCTGGATCCCTGTCAAAGATCCCCTGAGTTTCAGGCCGGTGTTTCTCGGTGGAAGGGCTGTACTTCTGAGAGAGAAGGAGACTCTGGCCCTCTGCGTCCTCCGCCGAGGGTTTGTGAGATGCCTGAAGCTGGGCAGCCGCAACCTTGTCTGTGCTCTGCTGGGCTTTCAATCTTTCCTCCCGCTTTGCCCTCTTCCACCTCTCTTGGATGAGGAGGAGCTGTTTCATGTGGCTATCCCTTTGCAATTCCAGTGATAAATGAGCCTATTACACAGAAAGAGAAGTACAATTTAACATTTTAAGTCTGCTTAGTAATGTCCAGAAAATACTATTCCAAGATGCTCCTTTTTGAATAGCCCACTAACACTGAAGTTTATATACTATGTTTGCAATTTAGTAACATTTTTCAAAGTAACTAGGTCTTTCTAGGTAAGTAAACATTTTTACTCATAACACAATACCATCCTTCCAGAAAGTCAGAAGTCCTACTCCAGATCAACACACTAAATCAGACCTTTTTGAATGTGCCTTAACTCTCTGCAATGCTATTTGTATTCAGCTTAAAATTAGAAAACTTTCCTCTTTATAGACATTGATTCTACAACTAGCAAAAAAGTCTTTTTTATCATCTGGGTGTTCAAAGGCTCAATGCACGTCCACATTACGTGGCTCACACGAGTAATTCTATACAGTCAAAGGGAAGTGCATGGGATATAACACAACTTTTAGGTTCTCTTGTTTCAGTTTGAGGAACTGGCATTTTTTTTCCCCTGCCACTGCTATCCGCTCACAGAAAGGATCTCCTTAATTCAATTAGACATTTACCAAACACCACCTATGTACCTGCCACTTTTATAATCCGGGAATCACCTCTGAATAAAAACTTATCCTTAGATAAAGGTATTTTTAAAACTTACGCAGGATCTCCCCAAACACAAAAGACAATTTAAAGCCATCGGTGAAACAAATTTAAAAGTACCAGAATTGCTTAGGAATTCAGGAACAGACAAGTTCAGATTTAAATTATCTTTGACAAGCAAAGAAAAGGCCAACTGGTTTCCCCTTGGCCAGGCCCGCTTACTTACTGTGAGCTCCTGGCCAAAGGAGCTAATGATCAGAAAAGGCTGGAAGAGGCGTCTCTAGAGGAGACAGTTGGCAATCTGAGATCTCTGAGTAGCCACTGGTAAAAAAAAACAGATGCCCCTGCGTACCATGTCTAGTACATCAACAGCAGCTGATTTGGTTTTAATTTCCTTTCTAAAATACTCCTCTCTTGCCCATGTTACATATTTTGACTATAGTGCTTCGAGAAAGGTGCAATGCCTAATTTTATACATAGTTCAAATCTTTACAAGAAAATCCTTCTAACCCTTGTTACAAATATTAAAAACTGTCTCACCTGCTCAGACTGTGTCAGCTTCATGGCTTCAGAAAGATATGCTGGTTTAAAAAAAATAAAGAGGCACATTAATATATGAGTGTCACCATTTTGTAATTAACAGGTCAAAGGAAGAGTTATAACACTCGTATGACAAAGAGAACTGATCTCAGAAGCTATTCTGCTACATAGTTATCCTATTCCTGAAAAGAAACAAGGTGGAGATTTAAAAAGATGTCAGTGGCAATCAAACGTAGATATTTCCTACCCCACCTTGACAAAGTTGGTTCTTTAAAACTCCTGTAGATTTCACAATTAGGAAGTAAAGATGACCTAATCAGAAAATTAGGATTAGGGAGGATGATTAAAATTTAACAAGAACCTTTAAAAACCCTATTATTCATTACACCCATAAAAATATCAAAGAATGATTATCAATGACTTTTTACCCACATGAATGCCTGGACTATCATTTTGGCCTCTATAGAACTTTTATTAACTTGTTTATTGTAAGCAAGCTGTGGAGGACAGTATAGTGTCATTGATGAAGACCATAAATGGTCAATAACTCGATAAACTCCCCTCTGATCTTAAGATGAGTTCCTAGGTGACTTAATTTGTTTGAATTTAAATAGTCACTATAAAAGTCCATAATTTTCCTCTTTGAGCTGACTGCTGGAAAGCTTAAGGTCAAGTTCTATCAAATATGCAAGAACTCACAGTGTATTTTGTGAACTATATCACTAGTCCTTCCAGAACCATTTTATCTTTCCATGGATTCCTTGTCTACTAATTTTTAATTACATTTTGTATTTTATTGTATTCCTTCAAAGGCCTTTTATAAAATGTCTGGAACAAAATGAGGTATAAACAACAAGTATTATTAATAGATCATACACAACCTCCATTTTTTTACCTCTTGCTTACTATAAACTTTTTAGCATCTCTCACCTGTACATTAAGTTCTTTTTTGCACATACTACAAGGCATTCCTTTCTGTCTAGTGTTAATCCAAACACATTGCTGGTTTTTCAAGTCCATGACTTAAACTGCTGTCTGCCAGGTTCTACTGTAGTCTTTAACATATAGCTTAATTGGATGTCCCCTCACCAACAAAAAGCACAGAGTTGGTTATACAGTTTTTGCTCCAGCCATATTTACCTTTTTTCCTCAACTTTTTTGTCTTTTATTCCTATATTAAATCTGTATAGCTGCATACAGACTATTTCTTTTCCTTTTGTTCATGTTTAACTCTGTTGAGTCATTCTACCTACTGATCTGATAGTATGGATATATTCTCCTAGATATCCCTCCCATTATGTCTGCATATATTTTGTCTCCTAGTCTGAACTACAGTTTATTTTAAATCCACTTTCTTAAAAAAATGAAACGATTTGGCAAAACCAAACTTAAAACAACTGGAATGCCTGCCTCTCTTTGTAGAACCTTAAAACTAAAACGTGACAGAAGATATCGTCAAATGACACGAGTTATCACAAAGAATTCAACAAGAGTTCCACTGTCATTTAAAGTATTTTAAGATTTCGATCTAAAATCTGAGATCTAAGGAAAAAACATTTAATCCAACTGCATGGTAATGGATTTGCTCCAGGAGTCACAACAGGAACAAATGCTCCACCAAGGCAGAAATTTAGGAAAGGAATACTTATCTCACAAAAATCTAACAATTCTGGTTAAACTGCTTCCCTCAATTATGACACACAGCTAATGTTTAAAGTAAATATTAAGCAAATGGTGAGGAAAAGGAACTTTAAAAATCTGAAGAATCTATTACTTCTTAAAATAATAAAATCATTTATTATTCTATCATGAATCTGTTAAACTGGTACCAGAATACAAATTGTATAAGCTATCTGCACAAACAAAGCAAAATATTGCCTCTGAATGACAAAGACTGATCCGCTCTGAATCATTTTCATTTCACCAGTCTCATGGGAAGGTCAGGTCAAGACTTGTTTTCAATCAAATACTTATAAACACTGTACTCTGAAGTCTGGTCATCTGAAATGTTCATTTTGAGTTCTAAGCACTGTTAATGGCTATTATCAACTTCCCATTTAAGATTTTGCTTTTTGTTGTCTGTGAAAGAAATGAAATCCACTTAGGGAACTGGAGAGCATTAAGATGTTAAGGAACTGGAGAGCATAAGATGTTAGTCTTATGCTCTCCAGGGAGAATTACATCAATCCAGTTATAGCTACTCATCAAGGGTTTAAAGCAACAGATTTTTCTAACAATGCTGAATCCTTGGGAGTTTGTGGCCTCTTAACCTTTCCCTTTTTTCAATATAGGGTGGTAAAATGTGAACACCTCCTCCAGATTTAGATAGCATTTTCCTTCCTGAGATTTGGTATCTCAATTTATCTGTCAAATGAATGGATACTAATATCCTAATTTCACTATCCACCTCAAGAGCACATCCTACCTTTGCCCAAAAGAAAAGAGAAATTAAGTAACTTCTTTATTTCATCACATTTACAAGACAAACTATCAGAACACTACAGATTTCCAGGCAAGATGGTGGAGTAGCTAAATCCTGTGCTCACCTCCTCTCACGACCACATCAAAATTACAAGTACAGAACTACCATCACTGAGAATCGCCTGAAGTCTAGCTGCACAGAAGTTGTACAATTACGGATATATAGAATAAGCCACCCAGACTGGTAGGAGGAGAAGAGACACAAAATGGACTAGTCCCACACTCACGTGTGGTGGTTAAAAATCAGGAGGGGTATTTCGGCAGTGGAGGTTCCCCCAGAGAAGTGAGAAGTCCTAGCCTGACACCAGGCTCCCCAGTCCAGGGTTCCAGTGCTAGAAAAAGAAGTCTCCACAACTTCTGGCTGTGAAAAGTAGAGGACATTGTGGCTGGAATCCCAGATGTTTCTCTTAAAAGGCCCACACACAGATTTACTCACTGATGGACTAACTTGCCTTGAGCTCCAGCACTGGGGTAGCAGCCCAAAAGGTACCAGGGACATACATGGAGGAAATGCATGCAGACTCAGGCAGGAGCCATATCTGAGTCTCCATCAAGCTGGTTAACACAGGTGTCATGTCCTGAGACCACATCCAACGTGTGGGCCCATCCAAGCTGCCACCAGTGGCTTTTGCCTACAGAAGGCCTGTCTTGACTCATGCTGTGGACTTTCTTAAAATCTCTCAAAGATTCACAAACCCAAACAAGCAGCATCTGGCCTCGGTGTGCCCTGTACCTCTTGGTGAGCAGCCCCAAGTACAATACTAGCAGCAGCCCACTCAGGTTATGGCTTGGCTTCTCAAGGCACATCCCAACCCACTGCACGC